AAGAAAGAAAGAAAGAAAGAAAGAAAGAAAGAAAGAAAGAAAGAAAGGAAGGAAGGAAGGAAGGAAGGAAGAAAGGAGGGAGGGAGGAAAGGAGAGAGAGAGGAAGAGAGGAAGAAAATGAGGATTTATTAAACATCTACTACGTGCCAGGCACTGTACTAAGGACTTTACAATTATTATCTTATTTGGTCCCCACAACACCTCTGGGAGGTAGATGCTATTATTATCCCCATTTTACAGTTAGGAAACCGTGGCATACAGAGATGACATGACTTGCCCAGGGTCACATAGCTAGTTAGTATCTGAGGTCAGATTTGAACTCAAGTCTTTCCAGAATCCAGGTCTAGCCCTCTATTCACTGTGTCACTTAGGGCAGAACTCAGGAGCAAGGGGTGGAAGTCGTCAAGATGCAAATGTAGGCTCAATGTCAAGGGAAAAGCTCGTTGATGATTGGAGCTTTCCAAAGTGGACAGGCTGCCCTGGGAGATGGCAGCAACCCCACCTGCAGGTCCTCAGGCAGAGGCTGGGTGACTATTCTCCAGGTGTTTATGGCAGGGATTTCTTTTGGGAATGTGTTGGACTAAGTGGCCACAGAAATCTCTTCTGATTCTCCAGTTCTGTGGCTCCTGACTCAGAGGCAGCCCTCTGTCATCTGAACCACACAGACTTCTTAAGGTTTCCATATACACTGGCTTTGTAAAACAAATTGTATTTATTTCTTTTGTTTTTATGTAAGCTAAACTTTGCAATACATCTCTCCCTACTCCAAAGACTATCCTTTGTAACAAAGAATTTTAAAAAGGGGGGGAGGGAGGAAAAGTTCAGCAAAACTAAACAATATTTTTTAAGTCTGATATCATTAAATACACTGTTGCATACCCATAGCTCCCTATATCTGGAAAGAAGCTGAGGACAGGAGTTGAGGAGGGGGGAGGAGGAAGAGAAGGAGGAGTAGGAAGAGGGAGGTGAGAAGGGGGAGGGGAAGAGGAGAAGGAGGAGGAGGAGGAGGAAGAAGAAGGGAAGGAGGGAGAGGATGAGGGAGAGAAGGGGGGAGGAGGAAGCAGGGTTTGTCTTTATTTTCCATATTTGAATCTGCAGTGCTTAGCACAATCCCCAGCACATAATAGGTGCT